GAGTTGGCCTGGCGCTTGTACTTGGAACTGACTGATTTGTCCTTCCCAGTCCAGGTTATGTCGAGCTTGGGCACAGAGATCAGGGGCACAGGCCAGAGTTGCTTGACCTGCGCCAGGCTGGCAATCTTCGCAGCCGTCTCGTCGTTGGCGTTCTCGACGGTGACGGAGACACCCTTGAAGATCTTGGAGTTGAGGGCCAAGCGCTGCGAGACTTTGGCGAGGCCAGCTTCCGACTCGAGCTTTGCCATGAGACTGGCGGCATCCTAGACAGGCGTTAGTATCATACATGTGGCAACGCTAGATCAACTCACCTGGTCATCGGCAAGCTCGAGGATGAATGCGCCCGGGACGGTGGTCTTCTCAATAGAAGGCGCAACCTCGTCCCTCTTCGAAGAGGCCGAGACGAGAGTCGCGACGCCGGCCAATGCCGCAACGGAGGCTTTCCAAGCAACCATTTCGATCGAGTTTCTTCGTCGACTTCAGACCTGAGAGCCTTGCAGATCAGGGCCTCGATCGCATTGTACCTGCATCTGCCGACTCTTTATAACTTCCTTCTTACACCACCAAAGATGCTGTGATGGTAGTCTTGGCTTCTGAGGTTGCATCAAGCACTATCGCCATGGCGCCGTAGACCCACCAACCCATCCCAATCTCGACATCTCGGATGGACGAAGCGACCTCGATGCGGGGCAATACGAGTCGGCTTGAGAGCAATTGAGCAAGATAAGCAAAAAAGCTCATTGCGGGCGAATCTTGCGCAGAAACATTGGGGCAATTGTGTCCGCGATGGCTGCATTCGATGGGATTGTTGCAGCGGCCGCTGCGCGGGTGGCATCATCGGACTCACGGGGAACGGGGGTAGAAGATGGAAGGTGGTATTTTGGAGAACCCTGGCGCTGCATGCGCTCGAATGACTGCGTGATCTTGGCGGTTGAGTAGGAAGATGCCCGGTTGGCGCGAGGGGCTGCTATCTCCGGGCTGGAATGGTAAGCTTATTTGCTGATCGACGTGTTTGTTTGCATGATTGAGAGCCCCTGCACTGTCGTGTATCTAGTTCTCGGTTTGGTAGATGTGATGATGCTTGAGGTTCGGCCCAGGTGAGTTCATTGATTCTCAATTGACAAATTGTATATCGGTTGTCTATATGGGCCATAATTCCATCCTCATTGAACGCTGTGGAAACCAAAGTAAACATTACGTTATTGCTTCATGGACCTGATTAGATCTGAGTTGCGTTGGTCGCCGACAAAGCTCCCTCAAGATAGAGCTTATCAAGAGCATCCGCCGCGGTGACATTATCAACCTTCAGCTTCAACCAGAACTGATCCGTCACACTCTCGTCATACACCCACTCATTTGATCCATTAGCAAACACGTGGTTGTACCCAAACTCATTCCCGTACTCGAACAAATCGCCCAGGCCCTCGATCGCATACAGCACCGTAAGCGGGTCCCACGACTCCCTCGGCCGGTAGAAGTTGTAGTACACATACGCCTGCCGCACCGGGTCTGTCGCCGGGCCCTCCGCCAGCAGCCTCGCGCCGGACAGCACCACCGACCCGACCTCCGTCCCGCAGAACACCACCCGCCCCTTCCAGTTGTTCACCACGTGCGCCGTCGCCAGCGGGTTGTCCCCGAAGAAGTTGAACTCGCGGCCGGAGGGGTACTCACCGCCCATGACGATCAGCTCCTCGACCTTGCTCGCGATCAGCTGCGGGCCGGTGAGGTTCGAGTACTTGTCGGCCGTGGAGTTGAGCAGGCCCGAGAGGTTCTCGAAGAAGCCGATGGAGGCGATGGTCACGGGCGCGTCGGCCTCGGCGAGGAGCTTACGGTACAGCGCGACGGCGTCCCAGGCGTCCTCGGCGGCGCCGAAGGGCAGGGATCCGCCAGAATAGTGGTACGCGATCTTGCTGGCGTACTCGCCGAGATCGTAGGCGAAGGTGTCGAAGAAGCTCTCGTTTGTGAGCGGGCGCCGGGCGCCGATGGGCATGGCGGAGTGGTTGTAGTGCGCGAGGATGGCGGAGGTGGCGGTGACGGAGTAGGAGGACGGGTAGTTCACGTTCACGCCGAGCAGGTTGACCTTCGGGGAGGTTGCAGCGATGAGGAGCGCGCCGGTGTCACTGTTGCGATGTCAGGAATGGTTTTTCAGTGACAAACTTAGAGGGCTGGGGGATCTGACTCGCAATCACTGAAGATGTCCGTGTCGATAATGAGGTTTTTGCGGGCTCCCAGGGCTGGCTGCACCAGGAGCGCGCTGAGGGCGATTTGCAACGTTGAGGCGAGCATCTCGTGATAGTCTCACCGGGCGCGTCGAAAGGGAATTGACCGGCGATCTTCAAAACTTTTCGGACGAACCGGTGTTTGCGTAGTTGTAGCCCGCCATAGCTTCTTATCTTGATGGATAACGGTTGCCGTCGTGTCGGGCGACTCCGATCTTAGGAGGGAAGTGGAGTCGAGTAATTTTATTTTCTCGATGATTTCCTCGGGAAATTCGTTGATGGCAAGGTTCACCGTTGATGGATTAGACGGGTTAGAGATAAGACGATAAGAGATTCATCCAGAACAATGTGTTAATCACCAGCGAACTACGCAATTGCGGTTGTCCAGGGCTGAAAGAATATCGAACATGAGCTTGAGAGCTATTCTGGTTAGCAACAGGCTGTATTGATCCTTCATTCACAACGCTCAGGCCCGGGATCATGTTGACAATATCACTCACCTGTCTTTCGATGCTTTGCCTGAACACCTACCTGGAGAATTAGAGAAGCAGCTTGACTGTCAGTTCCTCACTACTAGGTATGGCAATGTCTACATGCCTTTTCGAAACATACTGCAACTGCTGCCGTTCACCAACATCCACTATCTTCGAGCGGTACGTATCGAACATGGACGATCGGCGTGGGGTAGACGCACTGGCATGCAGGACAACAACAGCTTCAAACATGGAGCTCAGAGTTGGGGTATTAATTGTTAAGCCAACAAGCGTGGAATACAGCAGCCCTCATCGCAAAGACATTTTCCAGCATCTACCAAGGTTCAACGCGAGTCTGAGCTTGAGCCCCTCAGGCTTTATGAACCGTTTGCTCAGGCCACTTTCCACTACACCAACGTATTGTTCTTACTTCATTCCCAGCGCCGACAACTAAAGCCTCGGGAACTATTCGCACAAAATACTTCAATATGTCATCGCAATCGCATGAAGCCCCGTGGATCCCAATCGCCCGCCGCAAACAAGCCGAGCGGGCAGCCCGCATCCCCGCAAAGTGGCACATCCCGACCAGCGTCAACCCACGAGATCCACCTCATCTCCGAGACGGCCCCCAAAACGTTCTGAGCGTCCCCCGCCAGTTCCTCTCCGGGCTAGAGATCTCCATCACGGAGGGCTACACCATCGAGAGACTTGTCAGAGCCATATCGTTGCGGGCCTTTACCGCCGTCCAGGTCGCTGAAGCATTCTGCCATCGCGCGGCCATCGCCCAGCAGCTCACGAACTGCCTGACTGAGCCTCTCTTCGATGCTGCACTAGAGCGCGCCGCGTTTCTGGATAATTATCTCAGTGAGAATGACAAGCCTTTTGGCCCCCTTCACGGTCTTCCGGTCTCTGTCAAGGACACGTTCAACATCATCGGTGTTGACTCCTCGATGGGCTTGGCTTCGCTGTGCCAGAAGCCGGCGATGGAAAATGCACCTTTGGTCAATCTCCTCCTCTCCCTGGGATGCGTAATCATAGCAAAGACGAACATTCCCCAGACGCTTGCTAGTTTGGACTCGGTGAACAACGTCTTCGGCCGGACCATGAATCCCATCAACCGGCTCTGCACCGCGGGCGGATCCTCCGGCGGCGAGGGCGTGCTGGTAGCTATGAAGGGGAGCATGATAGGTATCGGCACTGATATCGGCGGTAGCATCCGTATTCCGGCCATGTGCAACGGAGTCTACGGTTTCAAGCCATCCAACGGGCGTGTGCCGTACGGCGGGCAAGTTCGCACCGGATTTGAGGGGATGAGTCGGGCTTCAGTGCAAGCTGTCGCTGGCCCGATCGGCAGAAGTGTTGAAGACATTGATGCCCTTCTCAGAGAGATCCTGCCGCGGGCATCATCATGGGGCGAAGACTGCATGCCGACGCCGTGGTCTCCAACTCCGCGCAGCATGAAGGCCTCAGGGAGCGGGAAGAATGGCGAGCTCGTCATCGGCGTGCTTCGCGGCGACGGAAACTGCGTTATTCACCCGCCGATCGCAAACATGCTTGATGAAGTTGCCGCCTCTCTGGCACATACAGCCAATATCAAAGTAGTTCCACTCGATATCCCGAAGGTGCTCGCCGCAGCGCAGTCCGTCATGAATAAGCTCATGGGTGTCGACGGCTCAGTTCCGATGCTTGACATGATCGAAGCAACAGGCGAGCCCTTGGTGCCATGGACAGCGGCCCGAATCAAGAGAGGACAGCCCCAGTTGCTCACACGTGTAGCCGAGATACAAGCTCAACGGTCACAGATTGATCGTGAGATGCTCAAGATCTGGGTTGAGGATGACGAATATGGTCGCCGTACGCAAAGGATTGACGCTATCATTTGCCCCTTGGCGCCGCATCCGGTACCTCCCATCGAAGGATACAATGCGGTCGGCCTGACTAGCAGTTGGGTGATGCTTGATTATCCTGCAGGTACCGTGCCTGTGCGAAAGGTGGAAGAGAGCGATTTGGAGCTTGGGAAGCCACAGGATGGCAAGGCGATTAGCAGCTGGGATGAGAGGAATCGGGAGCTGTGGGATGAGAACAAGATTGACAGACGGCTGTACTTGGGGACGCCACTGAGCGTGCAGGTAGTCGTTCCCAGGCTTCAGGATGAGAAACTTGTTGAGGTTATGGGCTTGGTAGACGCAGCGTACAAGGCAGACGCTGGAAGGTTGAAGGTCAAGCTGTAACATGTTTTCTTGCAAATAGTTTGTCTATACCAAAATCACCAAAGCTAGAGACTTCTGCCGTTTAAAGTCGGATCACCTCAAGACAACCGCCCGTCAAATGGCATATACGGCTCCACAAAAGAAGCCATCGCTCCAGCGCCGGACCCAAGATCAAAGCCGTTCATAACTGTGTCCCAGTCCTGAGGTGCCATTATGTGATCATAAGCCGAAAGACCCAAGTCGCCTAGAGGTAGTGGAAATTCGCCCACAGCTTGCTGGTCATACACACAAGTAGGGATGGCCGGTGCTTCCGGGGGCGTGCCTTCCAGAACCGTCCGTCTGGCAATGGCAAAGCTAGCAAGCTGGTGGAAAGTCTTGCACACGTCGTAGAGCTTCTTCGCGGATGGCGAGCTGGGCGATGTCGGCTCTAGCGCCGATACAGTGGCTGCCAGAAGTGCCAGGTCATCTGTAGAAGAGGTCGCGATGGTGTTCCCAGCTAGCACAACGAAAGCAGCAAATGGTAGCATTGAAAACATTCTGTCATCTTTAGCAATCATCCTCAAGACACGGTTTCAAAAGTTTTACGGTTCCAACTGACATGTTAAGCAACATCGTCCAACTGGTCTGATTAGCGTTGCCCCAGTCGTTGAAGGCTTCTACCATTGTAGTCAACGCCTTCCGGGCTGCGTCGATACAGGCGATGTTGCACTGAAGCGGATTGGGCTTTTGTTCCTCGCATGGCACAATTCGATATGCGATCGTGATCAAGCTATACATGATCATGTCGAAGAGCATAACGGGAGCTTTGTAAATGTCATTCGTTGGGGGATTATCGTGGAGTGCCTTGGAACATGCATATTAGGGAGATCTTCCAGCCAGAAATATATCTTCAACATACCTCCTTAATGTCTTTGTTCGTTTGGAGTATCTTGACGGCAAAGGATTGGGCTGTCTCGATCCTGCTCTGTTGTGGTTGTTGAAGAGCCGAGGCCGAGAAGAGCTGGATATGCATATCGCCGACAATTATAGCGTAATCTACGTAGCCAGCATAAAGACTAATGACTTTTTCGTCAATATCAATCTAATAATTGCTCCTTGCCACTATCACTGATGACTTACTTTACGGGAACCCCAGGAACGTAGTCGTCGGGCACCGTCGGTTTCGGCGTCGAAACGTCACATGGATGGATGGACGGTGAGCGCCCGAGGGTAAAAGCCATCCCTTTATCATGTATATAGATGTGCCAAAAGACTTGCCGTTCTTTCGAAACCCTTGGTCCCTCCTTCGGAAGACGGTGCCAGCCAAGATCAATGCACATCCTGGAGGCCGCAGATATCATTTGCCAAGCCAGGGCGCTACGACCAGACTTATTGCAAAACGTGTACTGAACCTTCAGTCAGATATGAACAAAGCATAAAATGAGCAATACGTACCAAAAGAGCAAGAGCCTGGCATGCCTCCATCGACGGGTCGTTGCAGAGCCTCAAGGACTGCATAGCAGCCTCGATATTCTCCTTCAATTGCTGCGAATACTCGTGAATATTGGCGTCACTGATCCCGATATGTCTGTGAAAAGACTGCTTCAAGTTCAGAAACATATAAAAGAGGCCGATATTGACAATGATCCATGACAAGATGGAATAGTCATTCACCGCGAAGTAGACGCGTTGGCAAAACTCGGTAAACTCCTCCTCATCCACGACGGAGCAGTCCACGAAGAATCTCTGTTTCTCAACTTGCGCCAATCGTAGAAGCTTCAGGACTTGGTCGATAGGAGGAAGAGACCTCCCTTCCAATTCCGGATATTGGATCTTAAATGGCGAAGGTGATATGCCCTCGGAAGGTGGGCTGCTTTCTTCACTGTCGGCAGTCTCGTCGATCATGTGTGTCGTGGTAGTGAACGTTGGGTCGCCCATGGTTAACTCAAGATTTGATGCCGCGTCTCTCAGTGCATCCGTGACCTTGTGAACGTGTGCTTTGAATGATGAGTCGCCTCGATAGCCCTCCGACATGATGGCAATGTTTGATGGGTTGCTGCTGATGTATGATGCTGGAGAGTCCTTAGGCGAAGGTCCCGACCCTCTCTCGTTGATCTCAAGGAGCTTCTGGACAGCTTGTGAAACTTCGCGGAGAGATCGATCGACACTTTCCATGGCCTCATCGTATCGAGGGGAGATGAGAACCCGCTGCCGCCTCTCAGTGGCCCGATGAGATATCCGGCAGTTGAGACCGGAGGCGATGCAGCTTGAGCATGGTGCCTCGCGATCGCATTTCGTCTGGAATGTGGAATCAGTGTTGAGGCCAGGACGGTGGGGCATCATAAAGTACCTTTCGATCTTTACATTGGTCGCACTTCGCCAGATTGCCGGTTAGCTCCAGATACTGATTAAGATCGGGTTTCCGACGCCTCACCGCAGGCCGTTTCCCGCTTGATGTCTCCATTTCCTAGCTTATATGAGACGCGACCGCTTAAGAGAGCAAAGGTATACTCAAAGTTGAAGAAAATGAATGCATGCATGGCACGCTGTCTTTGTCAAACTCATGTTCAGGCACATGCGCTTTATTCATGTCCAACTTCAACACTGCTGCCTGTTTGCCAACGGAGGGGCACACTACGCCTTACAAGGAAGTACCTGAACGGTCGTCCGCCGTAAAGTCTGAATGTACTGCTCCGATGGTTGCCACAAATGCTGCAAGAGTAGCGACTAGAGGACTGTGATTGGATCGCACCCCTGTCGGTCTGTCAGACATGGTGTCCAGCCTCGGTCGGGGAGAGCCGAAAGTAACACTGTTTTCGAGATGAGAGGCGTACGTGAGGTTCGATGTTGTCTTAGTGCGTTACTTGTTCGCGAACTTGGATGTCGTTCCAAGGCTCGTACAGTTGAGCATCCATCTCAAAACACAAAATCAACTACCATGAAGCTTGCAGACCAGCCAGAAGTGGATGTCGCCGTCTTGAACAAGGGAAATGGACTGTTCTACACAAAACATCACCTCGCGCTGGAATCAAGATTCACATCGTGGCGTCAGTCGCTGAGTTTACCATATATCCCTACGTCCTCTTTCAGATACACTGATCTCGGAGAGCCTGGGAAACATTCAAATCACGCCTCGAACGCGGTGAATAAACATGTTTCAAGGTCATCTGCACCTTCAATAAATCTTTTGATTCCACGAAGTTTAACTGCAACCCGAGCTGCAAGTTTAGTCCGTTGGGGACTTAACGGGATCTACCAACTGTATTCCCATTCCACGACCCCCCGACCGGCTGAACATTGCTGAGAAGTACTATCACCAAAAAGGTAAACATGCATGCCAAGGTGCCAACTGACCAACGAGAACGGCCATGGAATCCAAACAACAAATACATGCGATCTCCTAGATCCTACATCGGGCGAACTTGGACGATCACCAGTGCCGAAATAGGCAAATTTGCTTGTTCGTCACCACTACCTTACGTCACGGCATGTGGGTTTACAGCTGACGATTCAACCATGCGTCGAATCTAGGCAACAAGGTCGCTAACCTTGATTTTGCCATGCAGTCAGCAGGTATGACGGACTAATGAGACCAGCTTATCCATACGCCAGCGGCCTTCCTTGCTGCAGGCAGGCCTTTTTCTCGAAGACCCGCTTCGGGCCCTCGGGCCCGGAATGCCACGCTGCGCCGGGGAGCTCAGCCCCGCAAGGCGTTTGGCAACCGGTTGTTCGAGAGCACAATTGACATACGAGGGCCGACTGACGGGGCGTCTGTCACACTGAATGGGGAAAATGACATTGCAATGGTCGGTTGTTAGTGCGAAACTTTGGCGTGCGTTTAGATTTGCGCCTCTGGACTACATGTCACGTAAGGCAGTGTGAATCCTTCGGCTTTATGTTTTGAGAATGGCCAGTATCTTGAGTATGGTACTGATTTACCTTGGACCCGTGTTCGCGGACCCGAGGAACCGAGGATGGGACTTTGCATGCGACTGAACGCAAATGAAACCTTCTCGGCGATGCAATGCCATGAATTGATATTTAAGTCTTGTAGTAGCCATGCTCTTGATACGCATTTGGATGCAGCTTCAGTGACAGTGTTTTCTTTGCAAGCCGTTCTAAAATTAAACTCATTAAGCATAGTCTTGTTTTGCTCAAATCACACAAATAATGCTGCATTATACCGTCAATCTAGGCATTCTCGTGGGATTGGTTGCTGCGAAAACACACATCTTGTCTAGTAATGGGACAACGCCAGAAGTCTTCAAAGGCGGAACGCCTCCAGTAAGTAAACATTCATCATCAACATGTCTATGTGAGCTAACCACCACGAGTGTGACGCAATTATCGCGGCTGGTCTCAAAGACAGGTTGCTTCTTCCGGCAGATTCTGCCTATGAAGACCAAGTAAACACATGGTGGGCAAAGAATGCGCGGCAACATCCCTGGTGTATCGTCCTCCCACAGAGTGCTGATGAAGTTTCTCTCGCTCTCACAACCTTACTAGATACCGGATATGGAGCTGGCGATTGGCATATCGCAGTCCGGAGCGGGGGCCACGGCTGGCAACTCAACAACAACATCGACAACGGCGTTACCATTGACCTCACGCACATGAACTCGTCTGTCTATGACAAGGCGGCGAACGTGGCTCGTGTTGACACTGGTGGCCACTGGCAGTATGTCTACAAAGACTTGGATGATCAGGGGGTCGTGGTTGTGGGTGGCCGGGATGGCAATGTTGGCGTTGGGGGGTTCCTCCTTGGTGGCGGCACCTCCTTCTTCTCACCAGCTCGAGGATTCGGTGCCGATAACGTTCTGAACTACGAAGTTGTCCTTTCCAATGGTACCATCGTCAACGCCAATAAATCTAGCAACGCAGACCTATGGAAAGCCCTCAAGGGTGGCGGCCCCAACTTCGGCATTGTTACGCGGTTCGACCTTGAAGCGATGCCTACACGGAAACTTCACTACGAGGTTCGCTTCTTGCCCGGGAACGCAACCGGTGCAGTTATCGATACCCTAGTCGAGTTTGCCGACTACGACATGTCCATGGCGGACAATGCTCTCGTCACATATCTGACGTACAACAGCACGCAGAGCACAGAGATTATGATCGGTACCATCTTCGTTAACACAGCTGGCGAGAACAACGTCACAACTGCTTACGACAGTCTGAGAAAGATTCCTGCCCTTCTGGAAAGCAGTGAAACAAAAACTCTGGCCGAAGCAGCGGCAGGATCGCAAGTAGGCGGTGGAGTATGGTAAGTATTGCTCATATCTTCTTTGGGTGAGCCTTTAGTGTGCTTCACGGCTGACCGTAACATCAGGGCGTCTGGAGCCACACTTCTGTACAGAAATGATAAGAAGATACTCCAATACGCAGCCAAGATACATGAGGACTTTGTCAAGTCTCTTCAAAACTCTATTGGGGAGGATGCATTCGATACCATGATATTTCTGCAACCAGTCACCAAGGACTACGGACGTATCGCCGAGGAAAAGGGCGGAAACATGCTTGGACTCGAGAACATGGAGGGAAACGCCATAATGTGGACGGCTGCTGTGTTTGTCAAGACAAATGAGGCACACTTCACCATTGCCGAGCAACGCCTAAACGAAATGTCAAGCTTAATGAACGACTTCGCAGAGTCTGTTGGCGGAGCTGAGGACTTGGTTTACCTCAACTACGCTAGTTCACGTCAGGACTCGCTAGGAAGCTACGGCGCCAAAAACCTTGAGTACATGCGAAAGGTGGCGGAGACGTATGATCCAGAAGGCGTGTTCCAGACGCGTGTTCCTGGGGGGTTCAAGCTTTCAAGGGCAGCCTGAGCCGTGCCAAAGGACGAGATAAGCTTTCTCGCAGCCAGGTTTTGTGGCATCTGTCTCCTGATATGCAAGAGGCTTGTAGCATCACGTTCAAGCGCGGATTGTAGCAGTCTATACTCGGGAAAATCATTTATTGAAAACAAGCCAGTCCAAGGAACGGCCCATCGCATAGGTATTGAAAGATAATTGCATCGGTAGTAGATCTGGGCGCAACATGCTGTTGCTACCAGCTTCACCAAAGTCTAGGGAGGTCGCAAACTTGGCGATGCTTTGAAAAGTGCTCTGCTCAGATATAAGGCATTGCGGCCCTTAGACCTGAGGCGTGTAGTCGTTGACAATGCCGAAGATGAACTCCTCGTAGTGGCCGCGACCCTCAAAAGTCTCTTGACCAACGATGCCACCCTTGATAAGACCATTGGCACGTTGGTAAGCGCCGTGTTCGTCTCTGACAATCAGTTCAGTGGTGATATCCAGCGCCAAGACTTCGCCGTTGGGCAGTGTGTAGTTGACAGTAATACCCTCGGTCTCGAGAAGGCCAGTGACGGGAGGCCAAGCAGCCTTACCTCCCTTCTGGCGGACAACCATGCTGTCAAGGCTGCAGCTGACCAAGAGCACCTCACCATCCTTGACAACGTAGGAGCGGCGGCTCTCGTTGCCTTTGTAATCGAGGAGGTTGTACCAGACGACCGAGTAAGGTCCAAAGCGGCCGTGACCCCAGTCCCAGTAGCGGGGTCCGTCGATGATGGACTGGTTGCCCCAGTTCTTATCATGGTATCCGACTCCATCGGTGAAGCTGATGGCAGTGTCCTTGACTGTGAGGTCGACGGTGGTGTCAGCGTCGGGGACTGCGTTGGCCCAGTAAAGTCCGGGGAGGAGGTTCTGGTTGGCACCAATAGCGCCGTTCAGGTCGCAGGGGTAGTGAGCGGGTGCGGTCTAGTTCTTTCTGGTTAGCAATCCGAACTGCGAAGCCGAATAGGTCGGAATGCGCGAAAGGCTTACAGATTTGAAGGTAATGTTGCCCTTGATATCCATGACGGAAGAGTCAATGCTGATGTGGTATTCAACATCAGGCTTGTCCAAGGCGGATCCGTCGAAGTTGCCAACTCCCTTCCAGTCACCGGTGATACCCTTGGGTCCATTGGTGAGGGTGACGCCCGAGTCAGCCAACGCTTCGTAGTAAAAGTCCGTGCCGTTCGCATAGACACCGGAAACTTGAAGAGCGAGAGGGTGAGGGTATTGCTGGAATTCTCCAGTGTTGAAGAAGACAATGTTGAGAGTCTGGTTGGTGGCCTTGGAGAAGACATCGAAATACCAAAAGTCGGCAGACTTTCGCGCAGCCGGCGTCAGCATCTTGAAGCCATCGAGATTGCCAGCGACAGAGAGGTGCTCGACGGAGACAGTGCCATTGAAATACTGAGGGGCGAGCTCGAGGGTTCGAGTCGTGTCATTGATGGCAGCTCCTAGAGAGCAGCCGACCACGGCGGAAGCCGCGATAAATTTATTGAAGCCCATGATTTTGGAAGGATTTTAATGTAGAGAGCGAAATACTAAAGAGCGAATAATTGAACGAGTGTCGGATGGTGGAGACAAATGATGCTGTGACTAGAGGGAAGGAAAGAAGAATCCAATCCCATTGTAAGATCCCTATCTATATTGTCATCGTAGAAGATGTCAACTCTTGTCGCGTATCTCCATCTTTTCTCGGCAGTATGGACCTATACGAAAACGCGGCAAGAAGTCAAGCCCTTCATCATAGCTAGCTTGTCTCATTGGCTCCATGTCAATGATTCTCCTTGCCGCGGATTGGATCTGTGGGTCGATGGTATGGAATCGAGGCAGTGTTCCGCGTGTTTTCAACGGGATCTCCGCGATCTAAACGTCGTCCACAATCTCCAGCGCTATGCATCGCTGTCAACTCGAACAGTGGTAGTCAAGAATTTGACAACCCCTACAGGCACTGTTCGGGTTCCGTGCTCAAGCATGCCGCGTATTCGTATAATTGGTCAGTGCGCTATCCGAACACCAGCCACATGTGCCACACAGCATGAACCAAACCCCTTCTTGAATGCAGTCATTGAAGAAAGTCTGGAGCAGAGTATCTGAGATAGAAGGAATTGTAGCAAGACAACGACTCAATTTGAAAGGGCTGACTTGCTCTCTGTTGCATGGCTTAGAGTCAATAAGGTTGCGTGAGTGGGGGTTCCCGCAGAGCCTCTTTGAGCCCAATCGACCCTATGCGAGTCATATAGGGTTGAACTGGAAGATAACGTCCGTTGATTGTATACAGAGAAAGCTTTTGATATTTATCTAACATTTCATTGTTTTTATTCGGCCGAAGGTCAGCATTAACCGTATCCATCGGAGTCATCTTCAACATCCGCCCCTCCCCCATCCGCAGAAGCCCGTCCTCTCCGCCGTGAGTGCAGTTGTAAGAAACCCAGGGCAATTTCAACTTTATTTGCCCTTCAATAAGATGTAGCATGAAATTAATCCGGCTTATGTTTCATCTCATGTGTTGAAAAGTGTCTACGAGGGGTACTCCTGACTAACCTCGCCTTGTTGGCAGATAAAATTGCCAGTTTTAGCCCAGTACTAAAGGGTATTTCAACCGCCAGAACCGTCCATGGCCACAGTGGCCTGAACACTAGTATAGACTTTTAATCAGATATCTAAAGAAAAAAACTTACTTTTAACCACCTTAGAGTGAGAAATAGTAATATCCTACCTATACTATACTACAGTATAACTTAATAGAAATAACCCCAGGACGATGCGCAGCAAACTCGCCATGATCACATCATGATTGCAGTCGAAATGTAAATGTTCTTCGCGTATGTTGATGCTAAGACAACTGATCCAGATTGATCTTGAAGCGATAAATTATCTCATGGTGGTGAGTAAAACCAGAATTGGAACAGGCGCAATATTACCTCATTTTGAAATCGAAATCGACCTGTCTAGAGCGAAGAAACATTCTGTATTCGATCAATGATGGCATCAAATGCACTACAAAGGACCTGATCATGGCCAACCTGAGCGCCCTGCGGTGCCCACACTACCTTAATACTGATACTGGACAGCCTTCCTGATCTTATCGCCCAGCTCTGGAGACACTCTGTCAAACATGCCTGCCAATAGGTTCCAGTAAGTCAATCAGTCACTGTGCGTCTCAGAGGATAAGCACTTACCGAACGCTTTCTCATGGACCTCCTTCCGAATACTTCCGAGATGTCCGGCAACATCGGAGATGAGATCCTACTCCCCCGGCTGCTTACCAAGAACCGGCCAAAATTCCCGGGCCTGGACAAAGTCATCCTCAGTGACCTGCGACGTGAACCCGCAAACTCTGCCAATCCACTCTTCGTGGCCCCCAATGGCGTAGCCACTCGCTCCCTGCTGGCCCACAAAGTTGACGTGTCGCAGGTCTGATCGCACATAGTTCGGGTCAGCGCCGTAATTATCACCAAAGGTCATGAATCCGTCGCGCTGGTAAGGGCAATAGACGGCCCTGTTGCAGTTCCTCTTCGTCGCTGGGTTCTTCTGGCTCGCCATCTGGACGCTGCTTGCCGTCTGCGCGGAATCCAGCGGGCCTGTCTTTTTTGGTTGCTGTCGGGCTCTTCAGGGAATTGGCCCCGCTCTTCTACTTCCCAACGGAATGGCTATCCTCGCGAGATCCTATGAGCCAGGAAGGCGCAAGGGCATGGTGTTCAGCGCCTTCGGATGTACGGCGCCCAGTGGCTTCATCTTTGGAGGTCTGGTGTCCGCCCTCGCCGCCAAATATCAGTCCTGGCCTTGGGGGTTCTGGTTCATGGCCGTTTTGGAAGCCGTCTGTGGTCTTCTTGGCCATGGCCTTGGTCCCGCGCACTCCAACACTGTCAAAGAAAACGACGCACAGCCTATGGGCGAGGATGAATATCGCTGGATGCGTTACGGGGATTTCCGGCCTCATCCTCTTCAATCTTGTCCTGAACATTGCCCCCGGAGCGCAATGGCAGCGCCCCTAAATCTATGTCCTCCTTATCGCTTCTTTGGCATTCCTCGGCCTGTTTGGCTACGTCGAGCGGAGGGCGACTTTCCCCTTGATTCCATTTTCGGCCATCACACCCGACATTAGCTTCGTCCTGGCCACCTTGGCATGTGGATGGGCCGCTTTTGGAGTCTGGGTATTCTATGGCTGGGAGCTTGTTCAGAACGTTCGAGGCATCTCACCCCTGTTTGGCTGTCTACAGTTTCTCACCTGCATCCATCAGCGACCTCGTTGCTGCCTTCACGGCAGATTTAATTCTCCAAAAGCTGTCTGCTAATGTGGTCATGATGATCTCTGCAACGGCCTTTTGCACAGCCGACCTTCTCTATGCCACCATGCCCGTCAAACAGAGCTACTGGGCGCAGCTGTTTTTATCCGTCGTACTAATGCCTTGGGGCATGTGAGTCACTTGATAGCTACATTTGTATTCGTGTCCGTACTGACCAACTGCGCCAAGGGAAATATCTTTCCCAGCTTCCAATATCCTGTTTTCGAACGCCATGGCTCAATAACATCAAGGAGTAAGTCCATTCCCCTACTCAGAAGGCTTTCGATAAAGGGCCTTGGGGGCCAAGTCTACTGATGCTGCTTGATGATTCAGCTTTGGGAGAAGAAAAACAATAACTAACACAGTGATTGCAGGTCTCAGCGAGCTTGGTTGCAACCGTTATGAACTATGCCATCTCTCTGGGTCTCGGATTAGGTGCAATAGTCGAGACTAATTCCAACAAGAACGAAACAGACCTTTTGAGGGGTTATCGAGGAGCCTGTTACTTGGGCGTCGGACTTGCTGCGTCTGGCATCATACTCACAGGTATCTTTGCTCCTTATGAGCACAGGAAGTCTGTTCAAATGAAGAAAAAGGTTGTCATCAGGACAAGAGTAGCATGAAGTTGACATGCTTATTAAAATATCTGCTGTCCTTCCACCTGCGTTCGGAACATTATGTAGAGATATATTGATAGGAAATAAATAGTCGCCCATAAAGGTAGTATCGAATTGAAGCATGGTAGCTGGTGATACTGCGTCTTTTGCACGTATGGTGTTTAGGGGTTGTATACTGTTTCATAGGCAGTTGAAGCCTTGAATTACTTAAGTTGACGGCAGTAAAGGTCTTTTAGGTGAGATAGTAAACTTAAACTACGTAAGTCTGTTAGTTAGGTGAGAATATATTATTATCGACTCTATATGGAAATAATTACGAAGAAACACCGGACTTTTTAAAGTTTACTTATAAGATATCAAATCATCATTATTATATTGAACATTTGAAAAAGGGCTTAGGCTTGTGTATTAACATGTAACATGCAACAATAGAGTGGTTGTCACTAGGTATCAAAGAATGTCCGACAAGTGATGAACCCTTTAGACCTCCGTCGAACCAGCCGTGTCCTCTTCCATTTGCTTTCCGGCCAACTGACGTCTTCGAAGATCTTTGAGTAGAAAGATGAGGGCGAGAATAGTGCCGAATGCTGTCAATCCCACAGAAAACCAGAGAGTACCCCGGTACCCATGAAGCAAATCTTCCTTGGTGTGCCCGCCATTGTTGATCTGAAGCTCAATGGTACCAGCGAAACCAAGACCTAGCGATATACTGTAGACAACGATCGTCATGATGACACTGGATCCCATACCCTGGTACTCTTGAGGCACCGCGTTCGCGAAGATGATCGTGGCAGCAGGCAACGATGAGTCCATGGCAAAAGTGGCGATGATGGTGGCGAAAAAGAAGTAGGTCCAGTACGTCGAGTCTACGGGTCGCAGGGCCTGGAGAAGCGAGGTGACGAAGTAGCAAAGCATTGCAAACAACATGATGGACGAGGCTGGAACCTTGTTGATTATTTTGCCGACGATTAATGCCGTTGCTATGCCTGTGACGACGATAGGGGAGAGCCATGCAGCCAGTTGAATGGGCGTTTGGCCACCGACGTTGAGGCATATTCGGACGACATAGAAAAGCTAGACACGTCGTCAGTCTGGAACAGTCTCGGGGCGAAGACTAGTACCTACCCAAATGCCGAATGTGGACCAGCCCGCTGCTGTACAACCAAAGACGAAGGCTATGTCAGTAGTGAGGACGGCAACAGGTAGGATTGGAAAGCGAGCTACGCGAAGCTCGATGTAGAAGAATGCGGCCAGGAAGAAGAGACTGAGGATCAGGCATATGTAGACGTAAGGTTCAGCCCACGTAGTGACCAAGCTCTGATTCCAGGCGAAGTTGAACAGAACCAGAGCTATCACACCGCTTGCGCCACCCGGGAGATCAAGGCGGTCCATGGTGTCGCGAATCGTTCGTCGCTGCTTTTGCTCGCCCTCGTCAGGTATGTTTGGAACTGCGACGAGAGTGATGACGAAGACAACGGCGACCCCCAAACCCTGACTCCAGTAGATCCATGGCCACCAAGCCATGGCAAAGAGGGGCCCAAAGAGGAGACCTGCCATCGCACCGAGAGGGGCTGATGCAGCGAACCACGCGAATCCCATGTCCCGATTGCCCTGGGAGAAGCATTTGCCCATGAGGGCGAGTGCATTAGGCACCGTCAAGGCAGGACCAAGGCCCTGTAGAGTACGAGCAAGGATGAAGACGGGATAGCTGGAATAGACAGCGAGTCCTGCCATCATGCTGGTCAGAGCAAGCCAGCCCATGCCGATGGCGAAGATTGCCTTATTGCCAAACTCGTCCCCAAGACGTCCTCCGATCAAGATGAATGTACCTAGCGTCAAGCCATAGCCCGAGACTATCCACGAGAGGTCACCGGGTTCCGTCACACCAAAGGACTCTCCGATTATTTCGGGCGTCGTGAGGCTGTTGCATAGGCCTAGTTGATTGGTGAACATGGATGAACACACCGTCATGATGAAGATGATCCTCCGAATCAAGGAGAAGTCATCGGCAATGTAAACGTGCTCATCTTTCGCAGTCTGGGCAGAACCTATCGATGGATAACGCGTGAGTTAGTCCACATGTTCACAAGGCCCCGAGCTTTGGCAGGATGTCTTTTGAAAGCTGCTTACCATCATCATCACGCTTCTCTGGTGGGTTTGTGACATGGTGCGATGCAGTCTCCTGCACTTCTGGAGACGAGGCGGCCATTGCGAATCGAACTGAAGGTTAGTCGGCTGTAGCGATGGGCAAAAAGGTTTGCTGAAGAGAGAAAGTTTGAGAGTAGGTGGCTGGTATCGTCCCCAATCGCTGGATAAATAGTGCAGACATGCTCTATTATAACACCTTCTACTACAACCCGCATGGACAATTGAGCGTAGGGGTCACTACAACAAAGAGATTCATGGAACGTGAAGAATGAGGCCGCGCCCCATCCGACCTGTTTGACAGCGCAATGCGGTTTTCTTCTGATACACTCAAATTGTGCATTTATCAGCATCCATTTCGGGGCCACTAACTGATTGGCGTTGTACCGTGTGTAATACCGTGATGTCCATCCCATCACCTACCAAACATCAATGGAATCAATATCATATGGGATTGCGGCCATAGGGCTTGGCGATCAGCCGCCAAAACCGGCATCCCTCGTCACCTTCCGCGACATTCCATTTCATGCACTGACAGGGCTTCGAACTGCCGCATCGCGGGGAACGCCGCATTGCACTGGAATAAGACGTGTATGTCGCTTCAAAGCCCACGTTAAGCGCTTTCCATCGACACCAATTGCATACTATCACGATGTGTGGCTGTGTAGTTTACGTACAAAAGAACAGAGCCGGAAAATAAATCCCGCCGATGTTCAGGGATATACCCCTAGAGGACTAGTAGAATTTGCATGCTGAGGTGTAACCGGCAAATTATATTTTCATCTTGACCCACTTGCTGATTTCAAAGCAGGGTCGCTAGAACTCACCTCGATCTGATATTCCCAGATAGCGAGATGATGTGATCACAGGATGTCGCTATTCTCTCAGGGGAAAATAAACCTAAAATTAAAGATAAAAGAAAATATAGATTTAAAGGGTTATATAAGGTGCTTAGTTCTTATAGCAGATAGCAGAGGCTAGGCTTCTTACTGTTTTAAACTACCTTACCTTTATTATTATTAACATTATTTTAATTCTTAATCCTAGAGCTAAGCTTTTATTACTTCCTAAAGTATATATTAATAAATAATATTCTTATATAATAATAATAGTATAAGAATAATAATAACGCTTAACTTACCATAGTATTCTATATAAAATAAATCAATAAAGTTTTAAGTATTAAACTCTATATATAAATACTCTATTTATTATAACCTATAACTATAATATTAATTATATTATACATATAGTTATATAAGTACTTTATATGATTAGGAGTTTATCTAGCTATATTTTAAGTCATTTTCTCCTTCCTTTTTTTATAGGATCAAATGCCGAGATTTCTCAGAGCTTAGGTAATTCTGGTTTCTGTCATGCTGATTGGCTAGTACAGCGAGAAAAACGCCGAAGAGCGAAGGTTTACCGAGACCGGGCCCGAACATGTCGGAGCCGAGCGCCGTGATCCACCTTACCGGCCCGGCTCCTTGCCCTA